TCAAACGCACGCGTGCAAAAACGAAGGCACGCACTAATCATCATGAGCATCATGTCATCGTGAGAGAGCAAGGAAACAAACTGTTGAGCAACTTACATCACCGGCATGGGTCACCCAGGCGACCTCGGGGGCAAAGTCAGCAATGTGATCCTATACACCATAGCAAGCACGGTTGCGAAAAAAACAAAGCAAGGGCCAGGAAGCGAAACAATGATGATAATGATGAGGAATTCCCGTTGTGGGTGCGTGCAGAACAATACGTGCACACGCACACGCACACGCACATGTGCACAACACAACACGCACACGAACACGAACACAACACAACACACACGCGCACACGTTACACACGCACACACGTTGCAAACACATACACGTTACAGACACACGAGCGCACACACGCAAACAACAACACAACGCAGGGCATCCTGCATGGGTCATACGCACACCTTTTCCTTCTGCAGGCGGTCCATGGTGACAAACATGGGGAAGTAGCAGTTGGAGACGCCGAGGCGGCGCAGGTGGCCGTTGAAAAACTCCTGGATCTGCTCCCACATGAAGTAGGCCCATGGCAGCAGCACAAAGCAGCCAGAGACCTACGGCACGGCACACATCATATTTGGGACACGTGTGTGGGTGATGAGAATGAGAAACGTGGCCGTGGCCATTGAAAGAGGGACAAAGCTGATATGGGTCAGCCATACCACGTTCCAACACACACACACGCACGCACACGCACACGCAAAACCATCCAAACAGGCGGGCACAACCGAAACAGACAAGAGACACATGCCCCTGCACGTTACGGCAGACACCCAGACACACAGACACACAGTCACACATGCAGCTACACACAGACAGACAGCGGGGCCGTTTGACCACGAGATGTACACGCACGTCGTAGTACTCGATGAGCTCAGACTTGGTGAGGACCTGCGAGTACCATTCGGGGAAGTCCTCCTCCTTCTTCGCCTCAATGCCGAGACGCGTCTGCCCCTTGGCCGGCACTAGTTGAGTGAAAACAGCACCGTTCGAAAAAAAAAAAGGCGCAAACAGGCGTTGTGAGTTACGAATTGCCGGCGGGGCGGTGAGCCAAGAAGTGTGCGTCAGGCATCTAAATGTGCCTGACAGATAGATGCCACACTAGTGTGCATATCATCAACAACCGACGGCCACAGTATGGCAGGGGCGCAGCGTTGGCGGCAATGGCCCTTTGTTGAAACAACGCGAGAGCAATGCAGGTAGGCAGGCAAAAAAAAAAACAATCAACCATCGTGCGCTCACCGTTGTCGGTCTTCTTCTCCTTCTTCTTCTGCTCCTTCTTCTTTTGCTCCTTGGGCACGCTGCCACCCTCCTTCTTCTGCTTCTTCTTGTCCTTCTTGCTCGACGAGCGACCCGCGGCTGGCGGGTCCTCCCCCGTCAGCGCCTTGTACGCCGCCTACAGCCACGGAACGGTGGTTGATGGTGGTGGTCGATGGTGGTTGATGGTAGGTGATGGTGCGGACACACAACGACAGTGCGTGGTTGTGCATGAACAGATGTTGTGTTGAATATGTCTTGTGAAGAGAACCGGTGGGCGGGCACAGAGACGTATGGGAGAAGCAGCTTTGTCACATCAACATGTTGTGGGTGCTGTGGAGGAAGCATGCCAGCACGGCACACGACCAATCCAGGTCAGGCACGCGGCCACACACCTTGAGCTCCAGCAGCTTGTCGAGTGCGGGCTTGAAGTCCTCCTTCTTTGCCTTCAGATCGCGCACAACGCCTCCGGCAGCAGTAATCTGCTCAAGCAGGGCTGCAGCTGCACACATGTGCACAGGCGCCAACATGCAGCAGGTGATGAGGGTGGTGATGAGCAACACGGGGAATCGAGTGTGGAGAGTCGCTGTGTATGCATGTAATTATTTTGGTGGGTAGGTGGGTGGGTGTGAACGCAATCAGGCGGCATTGTACCTTCGCCCGAGGGGGCAGTGGCAGCGGCGGGTGCAGCCTCCTCCTTCTCAGGATGCTTCACCTCCTCCTTCTTCACCTCCTTCTTCTTCTCCTGCTTGTCCTGCTTCTTGTCCTTCTTGCTCTTCTTGTCCTTCTTCGAGCTGCCCTTCTTGCCAGACGCTGGTGGCTCCTCGCCCGTCAGCTCCTTGTACTGCTTCTTCAGGTCAAGCAGCATCGCAACAGCAGCCTTCACCTCCGCAGCGTCCGCCTTGGCCTCCTTCAGCGCGCGCACCTTGCCGCCCTGCTCCGTCACCTGCGCAAGCAGTGCCGCTGTCCAGAAGAGGTCAGGGCAGTGTGTGTGTGTGTGTGTGTGTGTGTGTGTGTGTGTGTGCGTGCGTGTGTGTGTGTGTGTGTGTGTGTGTTGCAAGATAGCGAACAGGGAGGGGAGAGAGAACACGTGAGCACCACATGGGCAGAGAGCCACAGGCGAGAGGGGCAAAGAGATGACAAACATTTGGGGAACGCAAGACATAACAAAAGCAGAACGAAGAAGCATGTGAGTGCACACAAGCAGCTTGGCCCAGAACATCGCACCTGCAGCGCTGTCGCCAGCGGCGGGGGCAGCGGCCTCAGGCTTGGCGGCCGCAGTGGTAGTGGCAGCGGCGGGAGCAGGTGTGGATGCCTTCTCCTCGCCCTCAACTTGCTGTCAAGCATTGGAATCGATATGGTCATGGAAATGGGGGGGGGGGCGCACAAGACAACACACCACGAGGTATTCGCAAGTGTACGTGTGTGTGTGGGTGGGTGTGTTCGTGTGTGTGTGACAGTATGTGTGTGAGGGAATGTTCAGTGTGAGATGTTGCGTGGGTTGGAAATTGTATTGTTGGCTTGCTTGATTGTTGTTTTGCCATTCGCGATTGAATGGGAGCGTGTGTGCTACATGCGAGCGTGCGCAAAGCAACGCGTGCGCTTGATACATAAACATGATGCAGCAACGCACCATGCTGTTGATCTGGTCCTGCAGCTGCTTCAGGAGCGCCTCGGCTGCGCGAATGTCCGCCTTCTCAGCCTTCTTCTTCCGCATGTCCACAATCTTCGCCTTCTGCTGCTTCACCTGCAGCTCAACCTCAGCATACTTCTCCGCTGCGCGTCGGTGACAATGAATTTTGCAGCATTGCGTGTGTGTGTGTGTGTACACGCGAGTGGGTGGGTGTGAGGTGAGTAAATTTGTGGTGGCTGCAGCTCGAGGGCAGCGACACATCATCACGGATTTGCGCACACATGCACAACACAACAGACGCACAACATCACACAAAACACGTCCACAAAACAACACACACATATACGCAAGCGTAGCACGCAACACCGAACAACGTGCTCAGAAACAAACAGAAAAAGGACAGGTGGTGGCGCACCGGAGACGGTGATCTGGGCCTGGTTGTCCTTGTGAGCAATAAAGGTCTTATCGTGGCCATCGGGGATGTAGATGAGGTGGATTGGGCGCTGCAGCAGTGGGTGGTACTCCTGTTGCCATCACAAACACACACGCACACACGCACGCAGAGCATGGGCATTGCAGGGAAACGGGGATAAGCTGGTGCACAAGATCCGAGACACTGATAAACATGCTGATAGAGACACAGTTGCACAATGCCCAAGCAACCCAGCACCTACACAAAACATTCAAAAATAAGCACACATCATAAACAGGTGCCACGCACGCACAGGTGACACGCACGCACAAACAATGAACAAACACAACCACAAACACAACACGAAGCACGCGTGCCTGGTCGCAGATGAAAAAGCCCTTGCGGTTGAGCTGGATGATGTCACCGCGCTTGATGTTGGCCAGCGCCGAGGACCCGACGAGCGAAATGTCAAACCTGCACGGACACATGTTTGAAGTGGAGTGAGAACCAAGCACCGGCAGCACATGTTACCGTGACCTGTGTGTGTGTGTGCGTGCGCCTGAGGCGAAAGGAGAGGGGCGAAGCAAGCTCCTTTCCGCAGCGCAGCACAGCAACGCGCGCAGCCACACGCAGTTCATTCTCGAGGTGCATGCATGCATGCGTGTGTGCTGGGGTTTGCGTGCGTGCGTACTTTGACTTCTCGCGGAGGTAGGGCTCGATGGGCTCGCCCTTGGGGATGTATGGCACCGTCGTCAGCGGCAGGTACTCGTACGCCTGACAAATGATGGTGGTGGTGGTGGTGGTGGTGGTGGATGAGTGGGAGGGGAGGTTAAAGGATGCATACAGTGGGCACAAACCAGTGCAACGTGGGAGACGGATCAGACCCCTTCACACAGCCACCACTGACCAGCACTAGCGGTACAAACAGCACACTCAGTCACAATCGGTCACAAACAAAACAAACAAACAAACAAACAAACAAACGACCGTAGACAACAGGTGTGGGGGGGGGGACTTACGGTGACGGGAACGGGCTCGTCAATGTCTGCAGCGGGCAGCCAAGTGAGCTTGAGAGTGCTGGAAAAGTCCTTGTCGTTCTCATCAATCTCCACGTCGAGCGCAGTCACAATCTGATAGGGCGAAAACGCCACGCCACCACAAACACAGAAGGGGAGAGCAGTGAAAGAAGGGGGAGGGGGTGAGGACGAGCGACGCATTGGATGATGACGGGGGGGGGACAGGAGGAGGGGTGATCGTGTGTGCTAGACCGTAAGTGCGTGTTACCCTTGCATCAAGTCAACCGCAAAGCCGCACTTCTGGTTGCTACACCACAACACGCTCAACGGCTCCCGACAGTGCCCATGAGACGAGGGCTGCAGAGGCACCAGACAAGCAGGGAAACAAACTGCACGTGCAGGCCGACTCACGGGTCCGTTTGTCTCCATGTTGCGCACGTGCGCGTTGGCCCAGTCCATGAAGGTGACCTTGTCACCAACGCTGATGGACTGCGCATCCTCCTGCTCAATCTGGATCGTCTGAGCGAGCACCACGCGCTTGGTGCCCACGGCCGGGTTCTTTGGGTGCAGCGGCACTGTGCGCTCCTGCGTGCCCTTGATGTTGGTCACCCGCACCGTCACCAGGTTGCGGCCGTCCAGCGCGGTGTGCCGCGGCGCAGTCGGGTCAATCACCTGCATTGGTGTGTGTGGGGGGATGGGGGTGCGCGTGTGTGTGTGTG